CGGGGACAGCAGGCGGGTGAGAGGTGAAGTGGGCGGGGTTGTGGTGGCCCGCGATAAGGCCCCACAGTGCCTTGCGCGCGCGCGGAAAGGGCGGCGGAATAGGAAGTAACGCAAGAGGCCTGAGGTTGAACAGATACAAGGGAATTGTAGTTCAGCGGAGTGGGCATGACTGGCTGAAAGCTGCCCCTCCCACTTTCTGGGGCTCTCAGCATCCAGATTCCTCAGTCCCCCCTAAGAATTAGCCGGGCCGCGGTGGCACAGGCTTGTAGTCCCACTCGGGAGACTGAGGCGTAAGGGTCGCTTGAGCCTAAGAGTTCGAGGTCAGACTGGGCTACATAGCAAGACTCCGTCTCTGAAAACATTAAATTAAATAAAAATAAATTTAGAACCAATAAGCCCGACCCCATAGCCTCCTCATTTAATACAGATAAGTCTAAATTCCGAATCATCTCAAGGCAGAGGAGTCCAGACTCCCATTTCCCGCCTTCCCCGGACTCGGGAGTCTAAGTCCACCTTTCTCGCTTCCAGGAGTAGTGCTCTCAGACTTTTTCTGGTCTCAAGCTTGCCCCTTATACGAATCCGGGTTCTATACCCCAATGCCCTAGCTCGTACCCAGATTCCTGGGTCCCCAGCTTCTCTAACCCCTATTTTCCCGATTCAGGCTCCAAGTTCCCTCCTTTACTAAACCTGGAAGTAAGGATCCTCAGACACCTTCCTCCCAGGCACACTCCTCCCCAAGACCTAGGAATCCAAGTCGCCAGCCCCGTTCTCTCCTAGGGACCCAGGAGTCTGGGCCTTCCGTTTCCTCCTCCTTCAACACTCAGAAATCCTGGCCCCAGGCCCTTCATGACCCAGGCGTCCCGACTTGGGCGAGCTGGCTCATGGATTAGGAATGCAGTGATCTCACGGCCCCTCCCTGCCCCGTTACCCTGCTGTCCCTCTGCAGGGCCCCATCTCCCCTCCCAATCTGTCTTCCGCTTGGCTGGGACAGCGGGAACCGGAAGCCTGGGTCCCTAAGCAGGCGGAGACTCAGACGTCTAGCCCAGACGCCCGGGTCGAGAGCTTGGCTAGGATCCCAGAAGGGAGGTGGCGCTTCTCCTCAAAACGGGCTCCTTCCTCGGAGCGCCCTATATACGGCAGCGCGCGAGTCGGCGAGCCCCGCCTACCAGAATAAGGCCTCGGGGATGGTGCCGGGAGAAGCGCTGTTACAGGAATTCTCATTTGCATAGCCCCTCCCCGAACGAGCTCCCCGCCCCGTCTGCCCAAAGAATGTGTCCCTATTAGCATAGCCCCGCCCACAGGCGATCCGTCTGGGAGCGCGTGGCCCTGCTGAGGGTGAGCACGGTTCTATCATTACCATACCCCCGCCCCATTCGGAATTCCCCTTCTCAGCCAATGCTGTTCCCCTGCCCTTATTAGCATAGCTCCTCCTCTTCCCTGGCCTCGCCCCCCTCCTTAAGTGTCCTGAGTTGCGAACCCTTCTTGCCAGAGTTCATGATTATGCAGTAGCCTCATTAGCGTAGCCCGCCCCGGGTCCCGCCCGGCTCCCCCGCA